AAGCAGCAATAAACATGGGGGTGCAGGTATCTTTTCAATCAGTGTTTTTGTGTCTTTTGGGTAGATACCTAGGAGTGGGATTGCTGGGTCGTAGAATTTGACCATTTTTTATTAGTTAACTAGGCATCGGATGAAAAAAAAATCTTCCTAAATCACACTCATTTCAAAACTGGTTCTAAGACAATGTCTATTAAAGGCTTTCTATTAAGCCATTTTCTATTAAAGCCTTTCACTAAAGGTTCCTTTTATTCATTCAATAATAAGGGGTGGAGAGAAGCATTTTACCAATAGGAGATGAGCTTGCAAAACATACCTGTAATTGTCCTTGTTCATCAGCGTATTCGATGGACTGGAAGATGGTGAGGGCATAGCGCTGCCTGGCCTTCAGCCGAGCGCTATAACTTCGGTACCAGTTCTGGATGATAAGTGCGGCTCTCAGCGCTGCCGACCCAGAGAATATGAAAGTCAGAGGAAAACAGTTACTATGCAGCTATTGTGATGGGTATTGTTTTGGGGGAGGGGGGAAACAGGCCATTCTTGTGTTCCGGGAACATAAAAACTGCAATGAAATTTACCTTTTTGTTTTTCCAAATGTCCTCAAGTTTCAAATACTCAGTGAATAGTGATGGCATAGCCATTAACAGTAGAATTTTTTTTTAAGATTTATTTAGTTATGCATACAGCACTGGGGTACAGGCCAGAGGTGCAGGAGCGGTGAGAGAATTCACCAGAGACAGAGTGGGGAGCAGAACAGGCCGACTGATGAAGTACACTGATGGGGGGAACAGCGGGCGGGTCAGGAGAGGGCTGCCGCGCCATGTGGATCACCTCCGGGGCTGGGGATGTAACTCATGCTGAAGTGGCTTTAGCTTCTTACTGCTCTGCTTTAACCCTCTGTACCACCAGGGAGGGCCCAAGAGTAGAACTTTTTGAGCAAGACTGCCCGAACTTAAATCGCAACTTTGCTAATAACTGTCTATATGACTTTGACTAAGTTAATAAAACCCTCAAAGTCTAAGATTCCCCTAGCACTACTTAGGCATATGAAGTCCATGTATGTCCTAAGAATTGTAACAGTTATTCATATAAGCAGTGTCTATACATATGTGTACATGCACACACATACACAAACAATGTGTATAAAATCCCACTACATAACCCCCAAAGCAATTATCACACAGTCCACAAAGGAGACACACAAGGATACAATGCTTTTTTGTTTGTGGCAGTAGGGAGTTAGACACCAACACAGCCAAGCTTTCCATCGTTAGGAAACGTGTAACTGTGGTGGGTACACTATGGAGTATTACAGCACAAATGGAAGCATAAATAGTGCTGCCCATAGCAACGTGGATGGGTCTTAAAAACACTGTTTCTCTTAGAACAGTTATTTAAAGTTTGAGACAGAATGATATATAACATGATACCATTTCGTATAAATTTAAAATACACTACACAAAACTATAACATGCATTTCATTAGAACACGCAAAGGAAAAGATTTATACTCAGTATTACAAGGGGGAGTGAATGAGCATGGGGTACATGGATAGAAGGGTAAGCAAATTAATTAACTAACGTAAGAAAAGGTCTTGCACAGCCAGTAATGAAAGTGTAAAATGAATTAAGAAATATGACTGACTCCACACCCTCTGCACCTGAGGTTTAATTGATTAAAGACAGGAGGATAAAAGAATACTTCTCCCTCCTTCATAGAGTCAATAGGGAACAAAATGAAATATTACAAGTGAAAAGTTTAGCTCCAGTATTGATACAAAACACATGCGAAACAAATGGCAACTGTAGAGATGAATATTGTCTTATTTGTGGGTTATTCAGGCACACTGATAATGAGATTTAAAGCATAGTCTCTTACGCCTTCTTTAAGTTTTAGAGTTAAGAGCTATCAATACCAGCTGGCTCCTTTTATTCATGCTACAAATTTTCCTGTTAATGCATAAAAATTAAGAATTAACTAGAACAAGAATAATTTGTGTTTTGAAAGCAGGACTCCAGCCTCTAGTCCAAGCATTCTTGGTTTAGTACTGCTGTGCTTCACTGAACAGAAACTAGTCATTGGACAACATTATACGAGTTTCTTCTTGGTTCTTGGGTTCCAGAGACTCTTGTTTCATTATTTAGCTTCCAGAAAACCCAGAAAATAAACATAAGACCAAGTTACAGGAACTTTATAGGGAAAAACTACAGGGGAAGAAATCGAGGGATCAGTTCAATATTGCAAAGTAAAGAACTGGTTAAGATCATGGCTGAAATCGCCAGTGTTCTCAGCAGGTTCACCAGAAACGCCTGTTCTGTAGGATGATCACTGCCATGACCAACCAACCCTCACCTCAGGGGGTCTTGGAGGCTCTCTGCTCAATAAGAACCATGGAACTGCTTCCCCTGTGCTGTTCACTTACTACTGACTGAAAGCCAGGCAGCAGATGGTTCCTGCAGTCCTCACCACACTGGGAAGTAGAGAGCGACTAGCTGACTTAAGGTCATTTAGCCAGTGAGTGGAAATGAATGGCAAGAAGTTCAATGCAGGTCTCACTGACTCCATTCCCTAGGCTCTTAACCTTCATATTTCTTAACCTTATCAGTTTCTCCATTTGTACAATGATGCAGTGAAATCTATTCCTGTTCACTAAAAATGTATTTAGTATTAGCAGCATCAATAATAAATACGCAAGCTTATTATTATTTCTATAGTTATTAATGAAACAAAATAGCTACCATATTTCAGGGTCTACTACAAGACCTTTAATCCCCTGAGTCTTATCATCTCCATGATACATCTAAGGAAACTCTGGTTTCAGAGAGGCAATTCATTTTGTTCAAAATTACCTAGTATGAACTCACATCTTCTGGGTCCAAACCCCAGTTCTCTCCACTACAGCCAATTACTTCAGTCCCTAATCTATTTATGCCTTTCCTTCCTTTGAATTACAATAGTCACCATTTATTAAACGCTTATTAAGTACCTGACACTAGACACATTATATAAACTACTGTTTCTAGTCCTTCCCCCCTTTGGAGAAAAAAGCTATGTAAGACTCACCTCCCATCTCTGCCTTACTTCTGTCTAGACTCTTGACAGAACCCCCTTCACTTGCCAGTGGTGGGAGTGCTCTTTTGTTTGGTAAGCCACAGTATACTCACCGGCTATTTTATTGGTGAGTGTGAGTACTCTGCCTTGAAGACAGACAACCATACTCAGTTTTCTGTTTCTTGCACTTCCTCATTATTCCAGGGTCAGTAAGTCAGTAAGCTGTTCCCAACCCCCACCTGAGAACCGGCCATTTCTCTTGCCGCTCATACTCTTGTACCTGAGCCCCGACACCTGAACACAAATGCCACATACTGCGGTACCACATGTCAGCTCTCAAGTGGCACTTATCTACTCAATCGCTGGCTGAGGCTGGGACTCTGCAGGCCACATTTCAGCTTTGCCAACTACTCCCACTCTAACTCTGCCAAGAGGGGTGGTAGAGGGAGATGGTGAGGCTAGAGGAGGGATAGACTCCTTCCAGTCTACTTCCTGTCCCTGTTCCTGTAACCTAGCAACTGCTCCACATTCCTGCAGCAGTTTCTCCTTGCAGTAGCCACAGGGTTCAATTTGCAGTTCGCCCAGCACTCAAAGCCAGCCTCACAGCAGCCCCTCACAAACACCAGCTCCAGAGAACAGTCCTTCCCCAAGTTTTGAGTTTCAGTTCTACAGGACCCCCGCCTCCAAGTTTCTAGACTCCAATCTTTTCCCTCTGTTCTCAGTCCTGAAGGTGCAGCCGCTTCCTCCCTGTACTTTAGGAATCTCTTTCAGAAATCCTTTCAGTTCCCTAGGAACAATTTAGTTCCTGGATAGTCGTTCTTTACATCCAGTTGTCTCTGTTCAGATCACTCTGTGTCTCTGCCTCTAAACAAACTCTGCCTGGTGAGCTAATCCCATAGAGGTGGGTAATGTAGGTCCAGTGTGGGCCTCAAGCCTCCAACTTCCTGGGTGCTCCAGTTCAGGTGCTTTCTGGAGTTCTACACTGGGTCTTTAAGTACTTGGGCAGTGGCTGATAGAATGGACTTTGACCCACATCCTGCTGTTGCTCCTTGGGCTTGCAGTTTCCACAGTAACCCTCCCCTCCCCCACCCCAGCAAAGGGAAGGAAATCACAGGGCAGGCTTGGGCATATGGACATCAGACCTCAAAAACTGCACCGCATTCCTAAGAGTCCTCACCCAGCTGGGCCCCTCTAGCCAGCTGAGGACCTTCCTCTAGAGCAGAAACCTCCAAAACAGTAAAGGGTAGAGCGCAGATATGACAGACCCTACTAAAGGGGGTCTCTGGTTCCACAACCCCCAACTCTGCCCCCAGAGCTGAGAATCTATGTCATCTAGTTTTGAACTTGTTGGATAGCTTGGACTGGCTTTTGGTCCTGGTGATTCACCATGTAACAGGACTTGTCTTCTCTGTCACATTAATTCTATGCAGAAAAAAATAAAAAATAAAAGCTATTGCCTTATGTGTCCCAAGGGCCTTCTATTCGTGTTTCTAAAGGGAAGCAAAAGCACAGGTTTAATAAGCTACCTGATCAATTTTCTGAGGCCAGCATAGGTGGTTTCTTTATCGTCAAGCTGGGGAGTCTGGGGAGGGGGTTGTTTGTTTCTTAATGGGTTATGTTCTCGATGGCAATCATTATAGTAGTTTGTCAAAAAATTAACTATTTTTCCAGGGAATCAATGAGCAAAATAAATACAAATTCAGAGCATTTTTCTGTGCGTCAGGCATTGTGCTTGGTGTTTAACATGATTTGTTTTCATTTCATCCTCCCAACAATCCTATGCAGTATTGTTATCCTTATTTTAAGATAAGGAAACTGAGGCTCAGAAATAACTTGTTTGGGGTGGCATCACTTGTCAGTGGAAAAAAATGCGGAGTCAGCCACAGATCTCTGTAATTACAGAACCTGGACTCATAGCCATTATTCTGTACAATGCAGATGGCATTTGGAATTTGCCATAAAAAATGAAAAAGTGTACAGAATAACATCTCCTTCCCACACCTCCCCCATCTCTCATCCCCTACATATTTCATCTTTATTATTGTTCTCCTAATACTTTTTACTATCTGACATCCTAGATAGTCATATGCTTATGTGTTTATTCTCTGTCTTCTCCTTAAGTGAAATTAAATGAGAACAGGGACTTTATTTTGTTGACCACTATCTCCCCAGCACCTGGGCAAACAGTTGTTGGATGAATGAATAAATACCTTCTAGGGCTACTGCAATACTATACAATAATGTATTGCTAATGAGCTGATCCAGGCATTGGTAATATATTAATTGACTATTAATATAAAATGCTTAGCACATATCCCCATAACCTGGCATACAGGAAGCAGTCAATAATAAATGGCAACTACTTTTTCTTTAAAGGCTGGAATAGCAATAAA